ATACTACCTAGAAAGATTATATAAAATAAGTTAGAACAACAAAAAAAATAGCAAAGTTTTTTTTAATTGGAGAGATGTTTTCTAATGCTAGGTGCTGTGAAAACAGCAGCAGTGTCTTTAACTGCTTCTGAAGACAACTATATTTTATTTGTGACTTTTTTTCCTTTAAAAAAGTAAAAGGCCAAAGATAAAGTATGAACTCTGAGGCTCTTTGTCAAATCAAGAGTACTATTTATTTTCTGTATCACTCTACCTATTATAGCACCACCATGAAAGTTGGCATCAAGCATTTATTGAGCACCTACTATGTACTTTTCTAGGAGTGGAGGAGAATTTAAAAAAAAAAAAAAAAAGATATGGCATAGTCCCTTGAAAGAACTTGCATTCCTAATGGGAAGATAATACAAATACATCAAAAGATAAACTAGTCACACCACAAGAGGTCACAAAAAGATGAGGGGGCTTAAATTGGATTTTAAGATTAACAGAGAAACAGCAGCTAGAGAAGTTATGAAGCAAGAGTGAGCCTGGGCAAGGTACATGGTTTACTGAAAACAATAGAAGCCCAGTTAAGATAACTTAGTTTACCCAGAACAGCAAAGTATGAGATGACAGTGAGAAAGAAAACTAGCAGCCATACTATAGAGAGACAAACTTAAATGTCAAGTCAAGGAGTTTAGTTGATAATACAAGAACAGTCAAAGAGTTTCACACTGAGCAGTATTTCAGAATATTTAGTGTGTTAGAAACATATAGGAGTGGGGGCAGAGTGCTTGTAGGCAATTAGAAAACTACCCCCCAAAATGCAAATTTCAGGAGACAGAGACCTAAAATAGCATAATTATTACTAGTTTCATTGGTTGACTTCATAAAATACAACTAAATTGAGCTGTGCTATAAATGTAAATCAAGATTTTTCAGAGGATGCTATCAAATGAAATTTGAGATGGGTGTGATTTTTTTTTAAACCTTCCTAGTAACTGACCATTTTGATGAGAAAACAGGATATAAAAGGGAAAGGCATTTTACTGTTGATTACATTTTATTTAAGAGGTCATGACTTCTATTTTCATGTCCAGTTGATCTGGCATTGTGCTTTTCAAGCACTGCCTCAAAACAGTTTGGCCTAATAATTTCAAATTAATCCATTAATTTCTTTTTTTCTTCGGCTATGCTGCGGATCAAACCCAGGGCCTCACACATTTTAGTCATGTGCTCTACCACTGCTACATCTCGAGCCCTTTTTAATTTTAGACAAGAACTCACTAATTTGCCCAGACTGGCCTTGAACTTGATATCTTCCTGCCTCAACCTCCTGAGTAGTTAGAATTACAGGTGTGTGCCTTAATGACCAGGTTGACTTAAATTTAATGTTGCAAACTTCAAAAACTTGGCAGTGATTCTTAACATGTTCCAGAAACCTACTGTTCAAGCTACTAATGTTACTAATTAATTGCCAAAGAGAAGTAAAGTTGTAATACTTAGAAATAAAACATCCCCTATTTTATCAAACAGTGCATTCACAGAGGAACATGGTCTGAAGAAGTCAGGTTGAGTACTAAGATTCTGAATGTACATAAGTCAAATACTCCTAATTTTTTATAGGTAACTGACTAGGAATGGAGACAAATATTTTAAATCTATTTTTTTATTATCATGGGCATATCAAGGACACCAGTCATTTGGGCCATGTCCATAAGGAAACAGCACATTTTACTACCCCAGAACCAGGAAGACATTCATTGCATTATGATTCCTTTATCTGATCTATAAGAGCTTTGTGTCTTTACAGCTTCTGCAAAAGTTAGGTACTGCATTCCTCAGTTTTCATTATGACCTGGTGTTTGTAGTAACCACTATGTGTCTACTGTTAAAGTACTATTGCTGTTGCCACCTTCTGTCCAGACTGAAGAAAGCCTTTTTTAAAGGATGTGGCTAAATCAGTGCTTTTTTCCTAATCCATCTGATCATGAGTGTGTGCGACACTTAGGATCACAGGTGGATCTGGAATACTGAGTACTCAACAATACAAAGACTCTGGATTATTCCCAACCTCAGTACAATCCATACAAGGGAAAAATGTGGGGCTTTTTTTGTTTGTTTGTTTCCCAGCTACCCAGTGTCTACATTGTTCCCATTACTGTTTTCCATTACCACCAAACAAGTTTGAAGATCAAGTGTCTTTAACCTTTGAACTTTTTTGTATCATGGCTTAAGCACAAATTCTTCATAACTCAGATTTGCAATATGTAAAATATAGTTGTGTTAATTAACCTGCTTTGTTTTAAGGGCTGTTACCTATTGCCTTAGGGGTTCTGAAGACATATGGCAAGACACAGTTGGCCCCTAGCAGTGTATATTAATCTAAGCACACTAGGATGCATTAATAAGCTAAATGCCTAGGAAACACAAAATTCACATCCCTGTGAAATATGAACATGCTCAATGTTATACTTGGGGAATGACTTCAAGGTGCAAGGTTTTGTTCTTACAAACATTTATTTTCCTCCAAATTGATTGTGTTTTTCTGTAATGATATGAAAAGTCTTCATTCCCTTTTCCCAAGTATTGAGTTTCAAAAAGCCAGGTCTTAACCATACACTAATCTTCATCTCTTCAATGTCTTGTATGTTGTTAGTTTCATATGTAAGTATTTATATTGGTTTTCCTCAGGGATTTATACATTGATATATATATTTTATGTATATATATATATATATATATATTCCTACACAGATATATACAAGCTTTTTATCCTCATCTTACCACTTGACAATACAACTTTAAATATGTTTTACACAGCTGTTCCTTGGTCAAGGTCATTTGCAAGAGCAAGTCGGTTTCTGAAGAAATCTTGTTTGGTGGGTGAAGGATCCATTGAGGGATTCTCATTAGTTTTTTCCCTGTATTCTGATCCACTGGACCTAAAATCTCAGCACACAGATAAAGTACAGGTTGATTTGGTTTAAATTGTTTTCAAATATTTTATCTATCCAAATTGTTTTGCATTTGTAAAACAATTGTCTCCTAGATCTGGAAAAATTTTTACTCCACTGAAGTTCAAGACTCAGGATATGTGATCTAAAATTTGCAGCAAACATAAAAAAGACAATATCTTTCTAATAGCTTTAGGGAACAATTGTGACATCTGTATATGTCCATGTAAGATACCATGTAATAACATTATAATAGGGCTCAGAGAATTGAAAAAAATCCTATTTTTGATTCATCGAGGTAACTACTCCACAAATTACCAAGGCCTCGAAATTAAAATGGACAGAACTCATCGTTCTCAACAAAGTTTATCAAGGGCCTTTACTGAGTCTGGGCATTACATTACAAACTCTTGCTTTTGCTGGTTTTCATTTTTAAATAAAAGATTTATTGAAGCCAACCACACACATATGCTACATTTGGTAGAATCCATAAATAAGTACAGTAATCAAATTAAGAAAATACTATAATCTCAACCACCACAAAGGAGACCAAGGCCAATCAATAGTCAACAACTCAAATCAGTCCATTTGAGTCCCCAGTCGAGGGTGCATTCTTCCTTTTATCTTGGGTAAGCCAGTTGGGCAATCCATTCCAGCTCTGTACCTTCTCCAGTTTGTTCATGTCAGAAGTCCCTGCAGGGAGGAGGCTTTCTGGAAATAACCTCTGATAAGATAGATGAGGCCCTCTCACTAGCTTAAACTCTGATGGGTGACACTAGCCCAGTAACAAAGAGCTAATACCAAAGACAATAAGCAGGATGCATGAAAGTGATGCTAGACGTGAAGTTCTTTGTGCAAAGCGCCTATACAACTGAACAAGTTCTCCATATGCTGATGCTCAGTCAGGTTGCTTCCACTATCCACTAAGAAGGACAACTGGCCTCCAAGTTCTTTCACTATCATTGGTATGTTATTGTTGGGTCCTTATTGTTGTTATTAGGTAAGTTAATTATGACTCTATTATTATTTCCTGAATTGGGAAGAATTCTATCCCTTTACATTATTCAAGGAAAGAAGTTGGATTGACACAGACTAAAATCCTGATGCCTAGAAACCTGATGACTGACTAGATATTTTCACCTTGATATTTGGTATCACAGATAAAGCCACAGCTCCTCTTACTTCTATCTGGTAAGGAACACTTTTCTACTGCATCCCAGCAAAGAAAGAAAAAAACTATTCTATCAATTCCAGTATATCTGGATGTTTATCAAATAAAATGATTCTTACTGGGTGAAGTTCTCTTTTTCAGGCATCCCCACTGAACTCGCCCATAAAACAGACGTCACATGCCTTTCCCTAAAACTCCAGTCCTTATCAGAACTCCTGCCTACGCCCAGTTCAAATCATCCCCGATTAGTATAGCTAGACGCCAAAAGTTAGGAAAATATGTTTTTAACCATTTCATTATTTCCCTATATATCTTCTGTTGTTTAGAACACTAGGAATTCAGCAGTAGGAAGGTGGGATTTGAATTGGGCTGTTGTTTCTTTTTTTGGTATCAGGGATTGAACTCAGGAGCATTTAACCACTGAGCTACAACCCGAGCCTACAAGTTTTTTATTTAAAGACAGTATCTCACTAAGTTGCTTAAGGCCTTGTTAAGTTGCTTAGGGCCTCACTAAGTTGCTGAGGCTGGTTTTGAACTTTCGATCCTCATGCCTTAGCCTCCTGAGCTTCTGGGATTATAGGAAGGCGTGTGCTGCTGTTTCTTCTAAATTGTTCCCACCTCCCCCATCACACTTTCTCAGCAGAAAGTTATTAATCAGAACAAAATCTTCACCTCACATTTCCCCTTATCTATATCTGATCTCTCCAAAACCCAACATGTCACACTTTGATGTTCCAACATGCAACTGTTTAGTGTTTACCTGGAAATGGGAAAGCTTTGATGTCACCACCAGCCCCAAGGACCACAGAAATCTTCACCAGTTGAGTTCCCATTTCTGAAACAAATGCCAAAATCGCCCTGTCTAGTTTTTAAAGTCCACAAACTCAGCTTAGTTGTTTTTTTTTTTTTAACTACTCTTCTCACAAATTGTAGCTTCCCTGGGTCTCTAGTACCTGAATGTCTCTGCATTTCTTATACTAACTAACTATTCATTAACTAAAGGCTAACTTACTAATCCTTTTCAAAATCTGATATTCTAATATAGCCATGACTAGAAACTCATTTTCATCTTTTTTACAGATAATTTTAACTGCCCTCTTAAAGATGCTTAATATGTGCTATAAGAACACCTGTACTCTTCCAAAGGCGTCACTATTAGACTCTGAAGTAATGTACACCTAAAGTACTAGGAAATGACCTTCAGAGTTTAGGAGAAAGAGTCAAATATATCTACTTTTATTTTCTTTCTCTGTAAAACATAGAAATGGCTTTTGAGCTTCTGTCTTGGCTAACAGCAGAACAGATCTGAGCAAAGACTTGCTAGGGAAGGGAAATGGCTCCCAATACATCACATAACCAATTCAAGCATTTGGTAGAAAGAGGAAACAGAAGAGACTCATTGGTAACTTTCCTTCCATTCAAGTTACAGAGACAAAGAAAAGCACAAGTCAGGTAGATCAGTAAGTATAGATTTGCTACAGGTAAATCTGGAAAGCTTATTTGGTTTGGGGAAGGGGGAGGAGTGGTTCTATGACATAGAACCTCAGACTTTAGAAGAGATTGATTCTCTGATTGGAAAGACTATCCTTCCTAAAAGTTTCAGGAGACATGTATAGGGAGAAGAATGCAGGGGGACTGGTGGGGGAGCACCTATCCTCTTGGACAAATCAGTCATCCCTGATAATCAAGAATGTATCAAATGAGCATTCACGTTGTTAGTTGTTGTTGTTGTTTTCCCACTATGCAACCTTCTTCAGTGCCAACAGCCTACAGGCACAGAGGGCCAGAAATGGTTCAGGGCACAGTTTGTTCTGGCATGGGACACTATGAGAGTAATGAATATTTTTGAGTGCTTATTAAGTGCCAATAACACTTATTAACTTGAAGCTAGATTACCTTTATATTGAACTTTAAGTTCCTAATGGGCAGGAACTATTTCTTTTACTTCTTTTGTACTGGACAAAACCTAGTATACTTAAGATCCTTAATTTAATAATGGATTTCAAATGACTTATTGAAAAAATATTTATTATCAGGATTAAGTAGTATCAAATGTATATCCCTTCAACCATCCCCTTCAATTTTAAAATTATATAGGAGATGAAATGAGATATAAGAATCTTGAAGTGGGTAACAATGGGTGTGGGAATTGTGGTGAGCTTTAAGGAGGTAGAGAAGAAAGTGAAGATAAAATGATAAATTGATTCTTTGACAGTCCTGATTTCTGTTACATGATCCGTTCCTCAGCTAAAGCTGAGCATATATAAAAACAGTTGAAAAGATGACAGAAGAAAAGAATTCACTGATATTCAGTTATACAGGACCCTGTAGAAGTTCTCTCCCAGTGTGTGATTAAGAAAATAGAGGGCTGGGGATATATCTCAGTGATAGAGCACTTGCTTAGCATGTACAAGGCCCCAGATTTGGTCCCCAGTACTGGGTAGGGTGGGGGAAGAAAGAAAAAGAGGGAAAAATAGATTTTTGATATGATTGATAGAAAAATAGTAATGACTCTAAAGCATGTAAGTTATAAAGTGCTAAAAAGGAAGAGAATGGGGGAGGAAATAGAATTAATTATTTGGATGCTATATTCCATTTTCCCACCCACATTTGAAGATAAAAAGATAAAGTACCATCTACATTTCTTACCCCTGAACTGTCTTACATAATTCTCTTCCCACTGCCACACTCCCAACCAAGAATACTGTTTACCTAACTGCAAGATTTACATATAAAGATGAAGTAGCATTTGCCTCAGCCTTCACAATAAGCTAGGTTAAAGTCTTTGACAGTCTTCATTAGATCCTTCTAGAAGTGATAGTTTGCCTTCTGTCCTGCTTAAAGGCAGGGGAAGAAGTGTTCAGTCCAGCATCAGCCTTTCACATTAGGCTTCTAAGAATCTTCATTTTAAAATGTTTAAAGTCACTTAATATTTTCAAACTTTAAGATATGTAGATTTATTTTGATCAATTCTGGACAGCTTTCAGGGACATGTGACCTGGTATCTACCCAGGACAAATATGCCTGAGATGGAAACAATCAGAGGGTCATCCTTGTCCCCAGTTATTGTGGGCATTTTTCAAGATTTTTTTTATGATGTCAACTTGACTTTCCCTTTTGAATCCTTGTGGGTATGAGTCTCAGAGGGAAGAGAACCCTTTCTCAGGTTTTCTGCTGCATCTGGCTCCATGCCTAGCTTCATCCCGAAGCAGCATTCTGGGTGTGTGGGGCCACCAGCCAAACAAGCCCCTATGGAACAAAAAGTGTGTCAGTGTAGACAAGAATGAGCCTCCAAAGGGCTGTAGGAGAGGAAGGCAATGAGCCCCAGAAGTGACACAGCAGCTTCACTGGCCCTGGCCCATGTGGACCTATGAGACCAAATTCTGGAGTGGTTCCAGTACCAGGCTTAGCTACCTTCTTAAAGTCACTGGGCTTGCTGCCAGTCTGATTTCCTGACACATAAGTGGTGACTGGGCTAAATGTCTCTTCCTAGTTCCTTCCAGTACCTGTCCACATGCCTGAGTTCAGAGTACAAGTTCCTATGCAATTGGCTGGGATCATGTCATTCAAGATCCTATACAAATGTCTGGAATAGTGCAGGCATAGAAGATGCTGTGTTCTCATCTGAGTTAAAAGGTACTAGCACTTCTGTGCTATGCTGGGGTCTCCCTGCCCCTTCTTTCTATAGTATCATATTTTAGCATGGTCCATAATGGACATTCCATGGTTCTCAGATGAAAACACTCAGGAGAAGCTACTTAAGTTGCTTCTTTATCCCATGCCAAGTCACCAAAGTGCCCACCATGGCACCCTAAGCACAAGGCCATGCCGGCATCACCTGATGGTGCTGACTGTCCTAGTCCAGAGCTACCAAGCCAGTAAAGCCTGCCAGAAGAGTTATCTGTATGGCTCCACCTTTACTTCCTCTCATATAACACTCAAGATTTAAATATAAATGACAGTTCCAGTATTGTTGATAGTAATATGACTGATACAGGCTGATCTATGAGAAAGGGAAAGAAGATTAAGGGAATATATTGGCCATATCTAAAGAGAATCCCAAAAAGCTGCAAGAGAACTAAAAGCAATTAGCTAACATGAATTTAGAGAGCCCAAAGCAAGTCCTCAACATTATATAAATGTCTATGGGGGAGGAGCTACAAAAAAGATAAAACCTGGCCTTCTATGTGATGGATCTTTAAAATTAAAGTTTTAAGATTAGAATTATAAGTTCAAGGCCACATTCACTTCTTGTTTCTGGTGACAAAATGATGTGATTACTCAGACTGAGCTACAACAAAGTCAAACCAAACTAGAAAGGACTGGTGATTTCCTGAGCAATCTCCTACCCAGTGCAGGGAGTCCTTTCATAGTATCCCTGAGCAGTCACCCTGCTTCTACTTAAGAGAACCCACTCTTTCATGAGGTCACCAGCTCCAGTTATAGGTACATTTTAGGGATCTCTCCTTTTCACCCACGGCTGCTATTCCTGCCCTCTGGATACAAAGAGGACAAGTCCACTCCCTTTGTCTCATGTAACCAGAAGAGCATATTTTTATATTTCTCTGATAAACAGAAATTTGAAAAGGAACCAGTGGTGAATCTATTTCTCATTGTTTTCCAAGACAGTAACCAGTCAGTATAAATGGTAGTGAGCAAAAAGTGACTGTTTCAGGAATACCATGGTTTGAAAAAAAAGAAAAAGAATAGGCTCAAGAAGTGCCTTTAGGAATCTGGAGTCCCTTAATCCCAAGTTCAGACTGGAAAGCTATCAAACTTGACAGAAGCAGGCATTAGGCCAAGAAAGATCTAAGTCTATTATCCTAGAAAGAATATACAATTCTTGACGTTTCAACCCCTGAATAAAGTGTCTTGAGGATCCAGCAGCAGTCATGCACACATTGGGCTGCCTTAACAAAACTGAAAAGGGACTGTAGGGCTGTGGTTAACTGCAGAACTGTTCTTCCTCTTCCTCTTTCATCTAGTAACAATAGGCAAAGACCAACAATTGGAGACCCACTGATCTTAGTACTACCCTCCCTTTGTGAAATTAAGCAAACCATAAAAAAAAATCCATACTCAATGTCTGCCCCTCTTCTCCATCTAAGACCATGATCTAAATCAGCCAATAACCTCTATCTTCAAGGAAAAAATGATTTTCCAGCAATTCTCCAAAGGCAACAACAACACCTCTGTTTAATTTTTCAAACAACAAAATATGAAGACTTGCTATTAAAAGTGAATCCAAAAAATTTCTACCAAGAGAAAATAAATAGCAGGGAGATCTCCCTAAAGGAAAGAGAGGCAGACCTAAGGAACAGTGGAGATACAAACAGCAGTTACTCAGACAGGCAATGGCTGGACAGGCAAATCTCTCAGTATTCAAATGTTAATGCTCATCTCCCCCTTATATTTATGCTAGGGTTTGGCCCTGTCTCCTAGACTGTAGCTGAGTGCTGGACAAAATGCCTGGTGGGTGGTGTTTCATACAACAACAAAGACCTAGAATATTAGAAGAACCACAGAGGGAAATGCTTTTTTGCCTTGTGAGGAGCATGGACACTTCATTAAAGTAGATTTTTAACTAGAACCCAGGCCAAATCCATCCATTCAGGGAAAACACTAGCAGAAGTCCCAATAAACATGTAGTATCCCTGACAACTATAGGCCCGTAAAAGCAGAAGTGCTGTGATGCCCTTAGAAAACCTCCCAGTAGCATGTGTGAGGCCCTGGATTTGATACCCCATCCAACAACAATATTAAAAAAGAAAAAAAAAAAAAACTTTCCCCAAGTGTGGAGGAGATTCTGATGGAGTACCCATTAAACTCAACTTCAATAGAGGATCCCACTCCCAGAAAAACCTCCTCTGCTCACTCCTCTCAGGGCAGGTGACTTTGGGAACAAGAAAGAAGGGATAAAAGAAGTAGCAGGAGAGAGAGTTGAGTGTGCTTCTACTCTGGGAGATTACAATGAGAAATATCTTCACCCTGCAGAAATTGTGGCCACTGGGAGCAAGCACTAAACTTGAAGCTATGCGAGACCAGACTACTTGATAATTATTAATGTTAAAACCTCGAGACTTAGCCCAAAGGGAAATGAGTTACAATGCTGTCTTGTCTAAGGCTACTCACTTCTTTTTAAAGAGCTTGCGGAAGGAGCTGCGAAAGCCCCCTTTCTGGTCTTGCCTGGGATTTTGATCGCTGAAAGATGTTTGTTCACTTTCTCTTTCTTCCTTTGGACAGAATCGGGTGGTGTCTTCTAAATGCATCTCCTGAAAACACAAAAGAGGTACTGTTTTTTACTCTGTTCCAAAAATATCTATCCTGACTATGGGTCAGTTCTTTTTATTTTGTCACTTTCCTCACCTACCCCAAAAGACTATCAGTGAATACCCAATCCCAACTAAAGCACACTTAGGCTAATAAAGAAATCATGAAGTGGAAAGGAGAAAATTTTCTGCTGAGTGTAGTATTTCCTATATATCAAGGTAAATAATCTAGGATAGGAACATAGCGAATGCTTAAAAAGTATAGAAAGTAAATGCTTATTCTGGCACTGACACTGTCTTGCTGGAAACCCAGTACTAAGCCCCTTTATATCTCTGAATATATTTCTTTCTAAAAAAATAAGAAATCTCCTTAATTGTAATATGAGTTTTAAACTCATGTTTCTAATTCTCCATTTTAGGCATAAATGCGGGAAGGAGTTTTTGAGAGGTCAGAACTGTTTAGAAGTAAGATCATCTACTATCCCCTAACTGAAAATAAGCCTTTAACAGTTTTTACAATTCAGAATCCATGATATTGGAATATAAAATAAAATAGAAATAAGGATGTATCTTTTGTGAACTCTCATTTTTTAAATGTGAAATGTGTCAACTAATAGATGTGCATATGTATTCATCTGTATATAAGCTAGATGTGCATATACATATATATTATATCTTGAGTTAACTAATTTAAAATTAATCTAAAAATAGTTTCTGGATTTTGAATAACCTTAAAAGTATCCAAGAAGTCAAGGCAAAGAAACATTGAGAATGCCCTGTAAGTCATATGAATTGGATGGGTGACTGCTGATAGAAGAGCAAAACATGAGAATGATTTTTTTTTCAGGAAACATACAGGTTTGACTTAGAGAAATTAAGTTGGGGTTGTAGTCACAGATCTGAAATTATCTGAGATTCTGCTAAGATTCATAACTAGACTATGGAGATCAATATCCTGATAGCTTAGTAAAGTGTTTCTCAGATGTGTGGTCCTGGGACTATAAGATCAGCTGAGGCCTCTATTTAAAATGTAGATTTTTGCCTTTCATGGTGGCACACACTGGTATTACCAGTAACTCAGAGGTGGAGACAGGAGGATTGTTTGTGTCAGGAGTTTGAGACAAGCCTAGACAACATAGCAAGACCCCATCTCAAAAACACCTGAGCCCCACCCAACTTTCTTAATCAGAATCTCTGAAGTGAAGCCTGGATAATCCTTAAGCACACTTGCACATGAAAATCAGTGATTTAAGGCATGTTTCTTCTCATCTTCTCTTCATGTTTACATGAATCACCTAGATATGAATCCTAAATTGCAGTTTCTAATTCAGTAGGTCAGGCTATAAATTCTGGATATAACAAATTCCTAGGCAATGCACTCACCACTAGCTTGACAATTATATTTTGAGAAATGGGCTTTTAGGGACCACAATCAGGCTACAGTGTTGGCGAAAATGCCTGGTGGGTGATGTTTCACACAAGGACTTGGAATTCAGGACTACAGAAGGAAATAGCTTATTTTTGCCTCCAGTTGAGTATGGAAACTCTATTAAAGTGATTTTTAACTAGGACCCTCATCAAATCATTCATTTGGGGAAACTAAATCTATTAACTGTTTAAGGAAAAAAATCTTTCTGTAGAACCATAAGCTTAATAACATTTTATATCTGTATAGCATCCCATACTTTACAAAGCATATTGACAATTTTTATCTTTTTTGGCCTGATCTTCACAACAAACCTGTGACATAAGTAAGGTAAATATTGCCTTGTTTTTATAGGTAAGAAAGCTGAAAACATAGAGAAGCCAAGTGAATTGTCTAAAAGCACACAGCTATTTAGCATAGAGCCAGAATTAGAACCTAGAGCTCCTGACACCCAATCAGATGCTCTTTGCATTAAAACACACTGTCTTCTTTCTTGACTTTGAGAGAGGACACTAAGGACTAGGCTTCAGTTGGCTCTCCTGGGCAGACGTAGGAGATGCAGAGTATATAGAGATAGAACAGAAGTTTTCCACATCTCAATAGCCAAGTAAGATAAGGTGAGGTATGGTGGCACATGCCTGTAATCCCAGCAACTCAGGAGTCTGAGACAGAAGGACTGCAAGTTCCAGGCCAGCCTGGGCAACTTAATGAGACTCTGTCTCAAAAGAAAAAATTAAAAGGGCTGGGGATGTACCTCAGGGTTAGAGGACCCCTGAATCCAATCCCCAGTACCACCAAAAGTGGGGAGAGTTGTAGGGTTATCTTTTGCAACAAAATTCCCCATCCTGCCCCCACCTCATATACACTTATTCATATATACATGCACTCACCAATATACACATACAAACATGCATGCATGCACATACACATTTTCACCAACTTTAATACTCATACACAACCTCTGTCCACCTGCACTCTGCACCCAACTCTCTCTAAGAATTCTAGTAATCTAGGCCTTCTGAGTTTTTACAAAGAAAAATTTGTCCAAAACCAGAAATAAGCAATGGGAACTTTTGCATATTTGAAAATTTTACTGACATGTACTGCTAGAGAAAAGATCTTTTTAAAACAGATTTCATTTGATACTTCTTTGGTGTCTCTTCTTAAACTGACTTGACTTCTGTCTTACAATGTTAGGGGAGGAAATTTGCTGCCCAATTTGTGTGATTAACAGTTTCTAACATATTGTTCTTTCATATGTCTGTTAAACAGTCACAAATATATTACTCATTGTTTCTCAGATATATTACTTGTTATTTCTGATTAATGGTTTTTACCTGGCAATTGTTGAACCCCTAAATTTTCACACATCAATTAGGGAAAAACATTTTTATGAACATGTGAAATGAAAGCATTTTTAACAGCATAAACTATATTAATTACACTTTTTTTCATGCCTGTCTACCTCAGATTTCCCTCAGCTAACTTCTAGGCAAATTTTCAAATCTAATTCAGACACCCAATACTTCCCAAATACTTTCTGTATTTAGGAAGGCTTTTCTGACCACCATCATACCAAGAAATTTTAGATAATCCTCTGTGGGCTCCTACAGTTTATTATAGTTCTGTGTTTTTGTGCCTTACTCCTATACTAAGCTAGTAATCCTGGAGTACAGAAATTAGATGTTGTTTATTTCTAAATCCTCAGCAATGAGCATAGAAATTAGAACAAGGCAGGCACTTAATTTTGTTTGTTGGAAAATTAATTAAAGGAATCAGTGATCATCAATCTGTCCCCACTCGGAGATGAGAATAAGTGGAATGGAAGGATTGTGGTACAGGTGAAAGTTGTGTTACTTTCTGCCTAATCAGAAATTGTCTGTTTCAATCACATTAAGAACTTAAGTATTTGCTTAGGAACTACTGGCCCTTTCATGGACATGTGTTTAATCACTCTTTTTAAGGACTCAAGGCTTGAAAACACTAAGGATAGGCATCAAAATGCATCAACGTTCACTGAGACCAAAGAAGGTGTTTTTTGAGTCAATTCTTCTCTACCATGGGATGTCCTTGTCTCATCCAATATAAATTAATGTGACATCCTTTTCTAATCAAAAAGAAAGCAAGCAGAAATGAAAGTTAGCTTTGCAGCCAACTTCTCAAAGCCCACACTAAAAACAGGGCAACTTGCTTCATCCCTAGCTACAAGCAAGGACAGTGGGGGCAGGGAGTAGGGTAGCTGTCACACAGTCTTAAACGTTTAAACAAGGAGGGGTTCCTAACAGGCAAGGGGAGAAAGCCAAGCCAGAGAGTTGCGTGCAACGCTTTGAAACAAGTTCAACTCTAAGGTGCCACAAGCTGAAGGAGAATGACATCACTCCTAATCCTCTCAGAGCGAGAGGAGAAAGGGGAGAAGGGAAGAGAACGCTTTCACAGAGAGGAGAGAAGGGAGAGGTTGGAGAGGAGGGGCAAGGGAGAGAGAATGAGTATGAACATGGAGACAACGCAGATCTAAAATGAGTCGAGGTCTTCTCTGCCCTCACACATGTACTTGTGTGACCTGCTCTGTGTCCTGTACGGGAGCTGCCGAGCTGCCACTCGCCTTCAAGGCCACCGAGGCACGAGCCTTTTACTGGGGCAGGCGACTTCTGGGTCCCTAGCCTGGCCTCATCCCACTCCCCTCCTCGCTAGGGGGCGTCGGGCTGGCCCTGCAGCTCTAGGCCCGGGGCCGCCGGCGTTGTGGGTTTCGGTTCGGTTTTACTTTACCCTCCTTACTTCCAAATAGGTCTGTTTTTCGCTTTGGGACCTCTGTTGGGGGAAGAAGGTCCGCGGCGCGCCGCGGGGTACGGCAGCGCCGCCGGCCGAGCCGTGGGGCTGCGCGGCGCGCTCCGCGCGCTCGGCCTTGAGCGGCGCGCGGCCGCCGCTGCTGCTGCGCGTGCTGTAGAGGCGCGGGGCCACGCCCTCGGCGGGCGGCGTGCGCGGAAACTCCTTGAGCGAGCGGCTCAGCGGCTTGGTCTTGCCGTGCGCCTGCGCCTGCGCCGCTGCCTCCAGCTTGTAGGCGCCGCTGCTGCTCGCCGGCGACGTGGCGCTCTTAGGCAGCGGCTGCAGCGCGTGCTCGGGCCGCTCGGCCTCCATGGCGAAGCTGACGGGCCGCAGGAAACAGATGTCCAGGCTGGACTCGGAAGAGGCCGGCGAGCAGTTCTCGAAGAGGGCCGGGGCCTGGAAGGGCTCCTCGTCGTAAGGCGCAGGCAGCGCGAAGATCTCGCCGCCGTATTCGAACTCCTCGTAGCCCGCCGGCACGAAGCCGCGGGCGTCGGGCAGCAGCTCGGCCGGGGCGCGCAGGGAGCGCTCCACGTTGCCCAGCTGCTCGGCGGGAGAGGGCTCGAAGTCCATCTCGGGGATGGCCTGCAGGGGCCCGGCGAGCGCCTTCACGTCCTGCTCGGCCGCACAGAACTGTGCCGGCGCCAGCAGGCTCTCGGGCCTCTCGAGCTTTCTGCCCTCCATCTCCCAGTCACTGGGCTTCCCGGGCTGCATGCTCTCCATCATGCTTTGCTGCTGTTGGCCTTTCTTCACTGGGGGCATCAGGTGTCTTTAAAGGGGAAACAATACAGAAGAGGTGTGCTTATTGTTTATTAGTACTAACCTCTTAATGATAATGGCTCGCCCTTCCCGTCCCAGGTGCCTGCCAAGCTCCACAAACTTCTACTGAATAGTTCCCAGGAACCTCTGTCCCCAGGTGGAAGAGTAGAAATGGCCGGGAGGAAGTGGATGCCTGAGCCCCTCAATGGCACCAGGACCATTTTCATTCCCCTTTGTGTAAGCTCTGACCTTTCCACCACCAGTCACAGTGTTCCAAGGCATCTCTTAAAACTGCTCTTTCTTGCTCTGGTTGACACAAAATAATGGAAATTCAACTTTTGTTCCACCCATGGATCTTCACACTTAAAAACAAGTATATTCCTAGATGAAATAAATGTGCATGTCTTGATAACTGTTGAATCTGGTGGCATGTGGGGTTCATTGTACTTGGGTAAATTTAAATTTTTCATAATTAAAAACTATGGCTATAATGATGCTAAGTAACCCCAAACTTCCACCCACAAAGCATTAATACTGTTTTAAGAGTTTCCGCTCTGAATATGCCCAATATCATGGAAGGGTTTGTTCGTTTGTTTGGGGAGGGATCATGAATAGTGAATAATTTACATAGGTTACAATGTATAGCATACCCATCAGATGGGACTTTCCAGTTTTGCTTCAGCTGCCAGACAGATGTAAATGGACAACTCCACACTGATTCAAAGTAGTGTTCTAATTTATTCATATTTAAATTCTTACCTCAGAAATATATAAAAATGTAAAAGCTAACACCAGAGTATCTTACTTTGGTGATCCTAAAATGAAAATTAGGTCTTACATTTATAGATGTGAAAAGAAATAGTGAAATGAAATCTTGATCTGACTCTTCTACCTTTGAAGATTGTTATTGAATTTTCTTTTCTTTGCACGGAGTGTTATGATAGCCATGTTGTTCAGTCTGGGATAAAATGCTAGAGATTTTATTTTGGAGCTCTGTTTGTTGCACTTCAAGGAAGATAAAAGGCTTTATTACTGTCTCAAGAGTTGGAGTAATCCACAAAGTAAACTTCCACGTTCTGCCTCTATTCCCACTGTAGGCCAGTCCCTCAAAATTAGTGTCTTTCTCTTGGATCAAAGCAACTGGTCAACTGCTTAGCTGTCACAGATAGGCCTGATGGGGTAAAGAGGAAGAGTTCTGTAGATCATACTCCTTTCCAGATCAGCCTACTAACCCACACAAACTGCCTGGGACTAAGGGCATTGCCATCAGCCTTTCCATAGCAATAGGTGCTTACGTGACAGTGGGGCCAGAACTGGGAGCAGATGGGTAGGGTTGCAGAATCTCTTCTGAGTGGATCCCACCGTCTCGGACAGCCTCAGGGCCTGCAGTGGGGGAAGCATCTTGGCCAGCATTTGCACACTGGGAAGCCAACCCTTTGTATAGCTTTGCCATTGATGACCTAACAGGATAGAAGTAAAGATTCTCAGGTTGTACATGGGGAAAGTGGCTCTCTAAATGCACAGATTATGCTAAGAAAGAATTATCTCTCAGATGACCCTTGTTGTGAGCTTTTCTCTTTCTCCAGGGCGGTCTAACATCAGGTTGCTTACATAATGTAAGCAACCTGGTTACAAGTATGGATGCTGATTAACTGGCTGACAAGAGATTGGGGGTAGGGGGTAGTATTGAGAGATGCATGCTATTAGAAGAGCCCTGACTTGAGAGAGCATCATCTTTTCTGGTCTGAAGCCGTGACAGAAATAATTCTATTTTCCATCAAGTGGGTTGGGATAAGGTTGAAGGAAATCCAGGTCATCAGGAAGCTCTGCTATGGGTTGCGTCTGTTCCCTTTGGAGCTCAGAAGTTTCCTAACCTTCTCTTTCTTCAAACTCTTCCCCACATCATTTGTTTTACTTTTATACATAGCACTTATTAACATCTAACTTATTTGTTCACTGTCCAACTATGAAAAATAAGCTCCATGTGGCAGGGGTTTCTGACCATTTTGTTAATTGCAATGTATTCAGTGTATAGAATAATAGAACAGGGGCTCAATAAATGTTCATTAGATTGATGAAGGAAATGATCTTCCTTAAACTGATTTTGTACCTGATAAGTTTAGGGAAACTGAACTATTTTTGAGGTAGTTAACATGAGAGGGCATTAGAGTGAAAATGCTCTTTCTCTAAAGTAATTTCACCAGGTTATAGGTGTCTCCCTCCTGTACTGTCTGGGCACCTCTCCTACTCTCTCCTACCTCCCACCACTGCATCTCAGCCACATAACCACAATGTGGTTACTTGTGACAGATACCTACATTGACTGGTCTGTGTAACTTATTCTCAGAACCCTTTGACAGACCTTCCCGATTGAATCATCAGAAACTTACTTCTTGAGCTTTTTTCGTTTCTGAATAAGCAAATCCTCATTGCACTGAAACAGCAGGGTATAGTGTGAGATAAATACTCGGAGACGCTGAACGCACACCAGTAGTAGGTAATAGTCAGGATGTTCTTGCTCTGTGAACTTCAGGACATTCTGCATAGAGGGAAAAAGGAAGCATTATATAAGAAGAAGGAAAAGTTGTTTTGTCTCTTTTGCATCTTACCTGGATCTATTTTTTAAGTTTGATAGCCTTTTAGTCAAAACAACAATACATATGACCCATCTAATAAGCTGGAATGTCAAATTTGCTGTTCTCTTTCCACCATTCCAAGGGAAAATAAGTCATTACAGTTCCAACTAGAAAGTTAGAAGGATCTATGAATTAGATCTCTGAATAGCAGAGGCATTCTAACAATTACTATAATTAATATCTTAATTCAAATGAGTCAGACTACTGATGAGAATGTCAGGCATCAAGGCAGGCAGGTAGGGGTGGTTGGTGGATGGTGATTATCATCAAACCTGGCCTGGTGACCCCTCCTATTACATTTGGTTTGGATATGGTTTGTTCCCTATGGGTTCATGTGCTCAAAGCTTGCATACGATATAGTGGTATTGAAAGTTGGTAGGACCTTTGAGAGGTGGGGCTTAGTGAGATATGATTAGGTGACTGACCACACTCTTGAAGGGATTAATGATGGTCTTATGAAAATGGTTAGTTCTCATGAGAGTGAGTTGTTATAAATAAGTAAGCCTGGACCCTCCCCCCATCTTGCCTCCTCTCACATATCATGGGACCCATCATTCTTGTATGTGCTCCCACCATGTGACACTATCTGCTATGAGGCCCACATCAGAAGGTAATGTCAGCACAGTGCTCTTGGGCCTCCAGAACCATGAGCCCAAATAAACCTCTTTCCTTTATAAAGTTCCTAGCCTCCGATATTTTGGTATAGTAACACCAAAATGGACTAATATCTACTGTACTATGGTAGATGTATGTGACTGGACTTTGGTAAAGCTAACATTGGTTTAATACTTCTTGTCAGGAACTGAGCCATTTACATATATTACCCCATTTAATTTTTACCACAACCTAGTTAGACAGGTATAATTATTATCTCTCTTTAGCAAATAAGAAAATTGGGGGTACAGAGAAATTAAGAGATCTTTACTAAATCACATATCTAGTAAGTAATGGAGGAAGGCTTTGAACTTAAATCACAAGGTAGAACCAGGGCTTATTTACCATATTCTAATACTTGCAAGACCTGGACTTCAGTCCTAGTTTTTCACCACTAGATAAGAACTTAGGCATATTACTTGTTTCTTTAGCCCTTCATATTCTCATCTAAAAAGTGGTAACAATGATTCCTATCTTATGGGATTTTTGAAAGGAATTATATTAAGTAATAATATAATTATCATGAGAAAATGCTATTAGGCCTTAAAGCCATACAAAATTTAGAAAACCTCAGTATTGACATTGGACTGCCTCCATCTAAGATTAATCACAAGTATTCCTAAGATGTTTTTTGCTGAATTACTTCAAAGACCAGTCAGTAGTTAAAGCAGAACAGGTGGGTGATTGGAAGAAGAGGGACTAGTAAGAGATTGATGAATCTCTTGGCTCTACTCCCTTCAATGTGCCTCAAACCCTGTGGAAAAATGGTGTGAAGAGATCTGCTCATCAGCTTCTTCATGACTCTTCTGTATAAGTATAAGCATTGTAAAGTAAAAACTTTGACTTGAGCCAAGTGAAATAGCAATTAAGTGGGCAGGTTAAATAGAAATTTAGACACCAAGAGCTGACATTTAGATGACTGTAGAGCCAAAGTAGATGGCACTAAATAAAGTGCTTCAATCCTGGATCACCATAGGGGGACATGGCTCGTAAATAAAGGTAAAACTCAAAGTCAGGCATCATAAATCAAGATATTTTTGGAGCCAAGCACTTGGTACACTCCTGTAATACCAGTGACTCCGGAGGCTGAAGCAGGAAGATCGCGAGTTGAAAGCCAGCCTCAGCTAAAGCGAGGTGCTAAGCAACTCAGTGAGGCCCTGTCTCTGAATAAAATACAAAATAGTGCTGGGGATGTGACTCAGTGGTCAACTGCCCATAAGTTCAATCCTTGGTACAAAAAAAAAAAGATTTTTGGAGATAAGAGATTTTTAGTTTATCCCACAGAGTATGATGAGGTATGGGGTAGTCATAATAATATAAGCCACGTAAACACTTAGAAATATTAATGATTCCTTGAATCTTTACAGTAGAAGTCGGAAGCCAAAAATAATATTTCAATATGAGAATAAGTTTGATGGCTTGCCTCGCCATGCTTACCTGCAGATGTATCAAATATTCAGGGATCCGCTGGACTATGTGAAAAAACAGTGTATAGATGTCAGATTTAATCTCTTCATCACCCTGAATGAAAGAAAGGTGGAGTCACTTTTCAGTGTTCCTCCAGCTCTGGCAGCAGAACCCCGGAGTCAGCTGCACCAGAGAAGAAAGGATTTATGCCCAGAGCATTCTCTTTCCAAAGATCACCATGAAGCATTGATCTTTCACATGTGCAGGGACATGACCAAAGAGGTAACTCTTCTTTAGCAAGGAGCGTATCATATATGTCTTTTGAATCCACTTAAATTTCCAAACTACACTTTCCTTCCCCACTTTGCATCTTAGTACAGAGCTAAATAGAGATGGGCATTTAAGTTGTGGCTCAGTGGTAGAGCGCTTGCCTAGCATGTGTGAGGCCCTGGGTTTGATTCTCAGCACCACATATAAATAAATAAAATAAAGATCCATTGACAACCAAACAATATTTTTAAAAAAGAGAAATGGGCACTTAAATTATATTTGAGTTCAATTAATTAATTAAAGTTCTCCAGCAAGTAATCATTATGATGGTTTACTAACAGGCTCTAAGGATGGCTTAGAGTTTCATCAGAGTTGGAGGGAAATGTCATTAGAAATTGGTTGTTTGGCCTGGAAGCAGAAAACATGTTGGGCTTTCTCTATGTGCCTTTCCTTTCCTCCATTTCCCCTTCCTGCTTCCCAAACATTTGCTGAATGCTAACTTATAGTAGGCATTATACTAGATTGGGAGTAGGGGTGGGAGTTTGAAGTAGAAAGCAAGACAGAGCCTCTTATCTCTTATGAGACTTGATTAATTTGCAGCTTTGGGGCTTCTGACACTGTTTTTTCCTACTGACCTAAAATAAATAGAAGTGTTATAGATGTATACATACTTATTGATTACCTAATATATCACCACAGCAGTAGCTCTTAAAGCAACATGACTACAGCCACTTTATGATCATATAAACTGACAAAAGATGATTTGAATATTGAGATTCATATCTTCCAAACCTGAAACACACACACACACACACAGCATAAAAGCTGCAACCTGAAGAGTTCTGGTTAGAACACCTATTTACTTTGCCTATAATTTCATTGAAGTAGAACAGAGGACCAATAAAGCAGGGCAAGGATCAAAGCAACAGATGTGATCTTGAGTAGGCTCCTAAAGCCCTAGGAAAGGTGTCAGTGGCTCTATTCAGGCAATCCCTTAACCTGAAAACAGGCTCAGAGTGTACATGCTGTACTGACTGGGTAGATCAGCAACATGGCATAAATGATATGCCAATAAAAGACAGCACACACATAGAATTAACTTACCTCCTTCAGAACAACAACATGAACCAATGAGATGCATTCTGGCAAATCCCTCAAATAGGCAACATAATAATCCAAGAAGTTATTCTTTAAAAGAAACACAAAAAATGCAAGGTAAGAACCTGGAAACAGGAACGACAATATATTTATAAAGCTATGTATATTGAAAAGGAATGCTTGGCAGAGATTATCTTAATCATTCAATTAATGTGTTCTTTAATGTATTTTGGAGGTTTGTGTTATCTTTTTAATAAATCTTTTTGGTTTTAATGTAAACATCACTACAATTTGGAAACCAAAACTCAATGGCCCTACCTCAATGACATGAAATAATAAACTAAGGGCAGAATGAAAGTCTTAAGGTTGAAAAAGTATTTTTAAATTGTTAAATGATAAAGATGCTTATTTTGTTTTTGTAATTAATTTTCATTTTAATTATCTACATCCAAATAAAAACTCTGGCCAACCCTTCTCATATTATCTGGACCAGTGGTTCTCAGTGTTTTCAACTACCTGCATCTTTCAACTAAGTGCATATTTACCTATGCAATTTCCCTTTAGAAAAACATAGTTTCCAAAGTGATATCCTCACAGATGTAACAATTCTTAGCCCCAGAAATCACAGTGACTACAAACAAGTGAAAGGGTTATTAGAGAGGTAGTGTTATACTTACTTTTCTCTACAACTAATTTGTAAACTTTGTGTTGTTACCTGCATTTGAGAATCATTATACAGAGGTTGATTACAGGCAAAAACTGATTTTCAGACCAATTGTAAGTAGCCCACACAGTATTTTAAAAATAAGAAAAAATTACACAAAATTGTGGATTGTTCACTTCTCTTAAAATAGAAGTATGGCAACTCTAGTCCATTTTCCTGAATAATAACTGGATAAAACTGTGAGCTATTTTTATAGTAAAATATATGTGCAATTCAGTGTAATTCCCACCAGTCCATATTGTATTACATTTAACCCACATCTCTCATTTATGTCACTATCTGGCCCTGCAGACATTTGAATTTGTAGCCTTGGTCTGGATCATATTTTCTATGTAAAACATTATATAGATTTTCAAAACTTAGCACCCTTTCCTTTCTCCAAGGAAGTGAAAACAAAAGATATTCAGGACAAATAGCCATACTTTAAAAAATATCTAAAGAATGAAAATTATGTGTGAAAATACACACATATATACTTATACGCTTATTTTACAGGTATGTATGCATATTTATGAGCATGAGTATATGAACATAAACACATATAATCATATATACTTGCATTTTCAGTGAAGTCAGTTATAGTTCTATATAAAGTTATGAACCAGAAGTTAAAAGACCTACCATGTTTCCAGTCACACAGATATCTCATTACCCAGCAAGCTGGGTGATTTCAGAAAAGCCTTTAAAATCTCTCTGAATCTTATTCAGTAATTGTAGAATAAGGAAGTTAGTAGTAGTTCCTCTGCAAATCACTCTTTTTAGATTCTCCGTTAAGAGAAGCAGATGAGGGAAACACAGATCGATATAATTAAAGTTGTAGAGGAGGATTTAAAAATGGCTTACCTCATCATTTGTTAGTTTAAGGAATAAATCTCCAAGAACTCCTTGGCGTGGCCATTTCAGGACCCTTTCCTGCAGTGCATGAAGCAAATCCAGGTGCTGCTGGACAATGTACCGTAAAGACCCAGGGAAGAGGCTTGAAACAGAGCACAGAAAGAAACACATACCAGGTGTAGAGAAGAAAAGATCCTACAAGCATAAACGCAGGGCCTGGGGATGTGGCTCCGTGGTAAGTGGTCCCCTGGCATGCATGAGGCCCTGGATGAAACCCCTAGCATGGGGGCAGGGGTAGGGATAAATATAGCAGGTCACATTTTCACAGTCCTCTGAAATACTGTGAGTTACAGGCCTGCATTTAAGATTAAAAAAAAAAAAGTTGTCATAGACCTTAGCTGATACCTTCACACTGTAAAAAGACCCCATTACTGATGGCCCCTATACAAATGTGTATTGATCAAATAGTAAGAGCCTATCACTCAATTGACCTTTTTAAAGTTCACCTGGTACACTCTTATTTATCATACCTAAGAGTGGAAATTCTAAGAGAAGCCTTTTTTATAATATTTTAAACTTATTCCAATTTAATATGCAAATAATCTATTCTAATTTGTGCTGTAGATGACAGCATCTAATGTGGCACTTAGTTATTCTTGGCTAGCAGACTGCTATTTAGGTAAGTAGGAAAATTTGTTTAAAGCTAGTAACTAAAAGCTCAGGGAGTTGGGGGGCAATGAGAGGGTCTCTTTTCCCCTTTCTTTCAATTCCTAAGAGGCAAACTAGGCAAAGACAAAGTCTTGCCTGCAGAGGCTAGAGACAAGGGCTGTCCTGGTACTCCTTGGAGTTTCACAGAATCTCTTTCCCATCCTCAAATCTCTTTCCTCTTCCTCTTAATATGCATCATTTTTTCCCCAGAGGAAATGAAGGGAGGAAGAGAGAAGTCAGAGAAGGGTGCAGTGGAAAAGAGAGAGAGAAGTAAATTGAAAGTAGGTTCCCTGTGCTTTCAACACAACAAATTTAAGAAAGATGAACGTGATGGCCTACTTGTCACTGAGTGCTGAACTTATTTAAATACTTCCTCAGGTTCTAATGGGAGCAAATTAGTGGACAACTGGAGTAATTTGCCAACAAGCAGAACTTTGCTGGGAAAGTAGAAATGATATCATATTGAGAAGAATGGGTTAGATTTTTCAACTCATTTCCAAAGACTTCCCTGTGGCTGTAACTCAGCGAAGACAAACCAGAATAAGGTACCAAGCTCCCCTATGAAAGATACAAACTATGATGGTTAACCGGGATTACCAATTTGATTGGATTAAGAAATGCATAAAGTTAAGAGACTTTTGGGTACATCGACGAGGGTGTTTCCAGAGATAATTATTATATGGAAGAGCAAACCAAAGGGTGAGACCTGCCCTGAATGTAGATGGTTTAGTCCAAAAGGCTGGGGACCTGGATGGAAAAAAGATGGAAGAAGGAGAAAAATCAATGTAGATTAAAACTTATTCTTCTTGAGCAGCTGCTTAGACGGCTGCTGAGATCACCTGAGGACACTGGATTTCAGCTCCTTCCCTCTTCCAAAGCAGACTCTGACCAGTCTCCAGGGAGTGTCCAGCCTCTAGTTGTGAACTGGGACTGAATCATAGGTTTCTCCCCTTCTTAGACTCCGGCTTGTTGGACTGAGCAGCTACTAGTTTCTCCAGTCCTCCATTCAACAGTTGACCAATGGGGACTATTCGGCTTCTGATCCTGTAAGCCAATCTAATAAATCCTCTTTTCATAATAAGATAGATAGATCCTGTTGATTGTTCCTCTAGAGAATCCTGACTAATATACAAGGAAACCTTCCATCCCATTCCCTCCATCTTCTGTTCAATGAGTCTCCACATATGCAAAGTTTGCTGATCCTAAATATCAGATGAGAGACCTCTCGATCTGAGCTGTACAGATAGAATGGTGGGCTTGGAAGGTCTTAGTAATCCCTGTCTAGACCAGAGAGGAATTTGGAGGGGTTGCTAGAAGCCATGCAGAAAGACTGGGAAAAGACCATAAACCTGATGGAGGAAAGCACAACTGATGGTGCTGACAGAGTAAAACACTAGTATCAGCAAAAGTCTAGATGCAAAAACATTTTTGCCTACCCAGAGGCTATAATTTTAAGTTAATAAATTTTCTCTTGCCAGTCCAGTAGTAGGCTAAAATAACTTCTGGGCTTCAGGTACAGAATACTACAACCATACTGGATGGGCATGAATAATTAAATATGTGCCACCTGGTGGCACAGAGCTGGTTCAGTTCTGGGTGGATGTGGCAACTGGAGTTTAGCTTATCAGGCTAAATGGCAATCCTCCCCATAAGTATTCAGACAGGTGTTTAATGTTAAGGTCGTGGCCCTATCTAGGTGAGTCAGACCAAAAAGGAGGCCAGAACTCTAACTTTTGGGATCTTTCAACAAGATCTGCCCAAGCTTCAGCTGGGAGCATGTGTTTGCAGCTTCCAGCCCATTCCATCAGGCACAGGCTGCCTCGAGACAGGCTGAGGCAGCTCTTGAGCAATTCACTTCTTTTCCCTCCCAGGGAAAACCTAAAGCTTTATTTTAGTTTGAGATATGGCAATGTCAGGTTTGAGTGTCAAGTTGTAGTTGTTGTGGTTTTTATTTTCAACCCAGGTTACTTTCCAATAGGGTAGAAAGTGTCAAAGGCTTGCAGTTTGTGATGGAAAAGGCAGTAAATGTTAATAAATTTATTTTCACCTTTGCATGGAGAATACCAATAGGTCCATTTAAAGTACACAGAGGTTTCAGAAAAGCTTAGGGAAAAGAAGGATAATGAAAATCTAATTCTAGGGTAGATAAATGGCAACACTGCCACACTCAGAACCAGAGATTCTTTTTTTTTTTTTTTTTTTTTGGTACCAGGGATTGAACTCAGAGACACTTGACCACTGAGCCATATCCCCAGCCCTCTTCAGTATTTTATTAGAGACAGGGTCTCACTGAGTTACTTAGCACCTCGCTTTTTGCTGAGGCTGGCTTTGAACTCATGATCCTCCTGTCTCAGCTTCCCAAGCCACTGGGATTACAGGTGTGCACCAACACGGCTGGCTCAGAGATTCATTTTGAGTATCAAGAATATGGAGTTGATGCTTTTTCTTTTTTTAATATTTATTTTTTAGTTTTTTAGGTGGACACAATATCTTCATTTTGTTTTTATGTGGTGCTGAGAATCGAACCCAGTGCCCTACGCATGCTAGGTGAACGCGCTACCACTTGAGCCACATCCCCAGTGAGTTGATGCTTTTTCTCTGCTTTGTTTACAAAAAGAAAAGAGGGCTAGCTTGGTAAATAACTAATATGAATAGCATTATCATGGATATATGAAATAACTATCTTTTGTTGAGGATTATATGACAGCTTTAATTTTTTTAATCTCAAAGTTTGAGAGAGGGATCTACTTCTTCTTACTCAGTGATAGATCATGAGAGAATGTCAGAAAAATAGGAAGTGACAGCAAGTAAAAAAAAAAAAAACTCTACTATTCTGACAGCTACAAATATATTTAGCATCTCTATTTGGCAGGTCAATTGAGATCCGAAGTAAGAACTTTTGGGTTGTTCAAGAGAAAAGCCTGAGTTTTGAAATAGGAAGAGATAAATTTGTGCCTCTTGCTTTTGGAGAAATGTTTCCTATTCCTATTAGTTGAAGTGGTGTCCTTGAAACCACAAGGTCCTTAGAGAGAAACTGTGTGACATGGAAAGAGTACAAGGTTCCGGGTCATACAGGTCTGCATTTGAATTCTGGCACTAATTGTCTATGTGCCTTTAAACTTCTCTAGATCTTAGTTTCTTCATCCATAAGGTAGAAATCACAGCATTTTGTGTTTTATTATTTGTTTGTTTTTGTGGTCCTGGGAATGGAACCCAGAGCCTCACACATGCTAGACGAGCACTCCACCACTGACATCACCAGCCCCAAGTCTGGTGAAGATTTCATGAAGTTAAAATCAAGTGCCTAGCATAGGACCTGCAAACAATTATCTTTTTCTCTTTTCCCATTCTTGTCCTAGTTTCCCAAATTGACAGAAACTAGGAAGAGACTCTGCTGGTTAGGATTCTCAGACATGGAAGCAAAGCCACACCAAAAGGTAGCCTCACCTTTAGATTTGATTAATGTAAACTGAGCAGGTATTTAGCAATAGCCAACCAAAACAAAACCCTAGAGGCTAGAAACTTCCCAGAACCCTGAATGAGAGGTGGGAGGGTTAGATAAGCTGTATTGGTATCTAGAAGGGAAAAATCGATGGTCAGAGGGGATGGGAAGGAACTGTGAGAATCCAGGTGGCCACTGAGAGAAGGTGAAGCCCAGCCCAGAATCTCTATTGGTCACAGCTTTAAATGTGTCACATTATCTTTTCTGTTCATTACTACTTTAAATTTTGTTCACCTCAGTTTTACAGTAATATATTCCTTGAAAATAGTCAAGGCACTTGTGAGTTTGTCGGGGAATATTTCCTCACTTTGGTCATTTAGATAGGAGGAGCATTATGTTCTGGTGACATGGTGTATTGCTGGGAGCTGCAAAGTCAAGCAAAATCAGGGGCATGGTAGGGAGCAGAAAAATATAATTAGGGGCTCCCCATCCATTCATTTGGATTGGCCTTTGCCTGCCTCAATTGTTCTGGATCATTTCATCTTTATTACATTAGTCTTCTTCACCAATTCTTACTTTTTTCCTTCCTGCTTTCTCTGAACAGAGAGTGAACGAGAAAATCTACGCTATGAACAGGTATAGATTGAGGTGTGTAACATTAGGGATAGTAGCTGTTACAATACTTTACCTACACTTTAGAGCACTGCCCCACAACACAGGTGTGTGAGCGTGCATGCACGCGCGAGCACACACACAGACACACACACGCAATCTTAGAAGTGACCTGGTATTGTGAGAACACCTGAAGAGTTATATCATTCCAGTGTCATTTATCCAATGGCTACTTAATGCTTCAGACCCACCATATCCATTTCCTTGTACCTCTTTGAGACCTGTGATCCATGGCAACAGGGAGCAATGCCTCTCTTTAAGTTCTTTTTTTTTTTTTAATTCGTTCTTCTAGATATACGTGACAGTAGAGTATATTTTGACACAGTATACACACATAGAATAAATATAACTTGTTCCAGTTAGGATCCAATTATTGTGGCTGTACATGATGTGGAGATATATTGCTCATGTATTCATATATAAGGACAGGAATGTTATGTCTGATTCATTCCACAGTCTTTCCTATTCCATGCCCACTCTCTTCCCTTTGTTCCCCTTTGTCTAATCCAATGAACTTCTATTCTTCCCCTCCCTTGTTGTGGGTTAGCATCTACACATCAGAGAGAACATTCTGCCTTTGGCTTTTTAGGACTGGCTTATTCCACTTAGCACGATATTCTCCAGTTCCATCCATTTACCAGCAAATGCCATAATTTCATTCTTCTTTATGGCTGAGTAATATTCTACTGTGTATATATATTTACACAGTAGAATATCCATTATCTGTTATAAGGCATCTGTTATCCATTCATCTGTTATAAGGCAACCTAGATTGATTCTATAGCTTGGCTATTGTCAATTGAGCTTCTCTAAACATTGACATGGCTGTGTCACTGTAATATGCCCTTTAAGTTCTTAACCACCATATCAGAGACACTACAGGCCCTGGAGACTATACTCATTTTCTTACCTGCTTAGAATCTAAGTTTGAGATTTTCCAGGAGTTACCTGCTATCATTGCTTATTCTTTTTTCAAAGATTATTTCTAGAACTCATTGTAGGCCCCAGAATTCCCAAGGTGGAAATGGTGAACAACTTACCTTAAATCCTAATCAATCTGAAAAGCAAAGGCAATGAATACATGGATACCTTCTCTCTTTGGAATTCCTCTTTCCATCTGACCCCTGGAATGTTGCCTTTATCTTCAGGATCAGAGAGATGTTAATAACATATTTTCTTTCAGATTCAAGCAGTTCTAGAGCCACAGTTTGTCTTTTGGCTTTAAAAACAAACCAAAGAGGAAATTTTTGTTAATCATTCTTTCCCAAATCCTACAAAATGACAGAAAGCAATAAAAAAAATATCAAAAGCAGTAAAAAAGACAGCAAATTTTTGGAAGACAGAAAACAGAATGGAGATATAAGATATAATTCATTCAGCAGAGCAAAGGACACATAATCTTCTTGCTCCTGTCTGCAGATAGAGAATCCACTGAGAAGCAGCAGAAAGACTCAAGGACTGGATACACCAAGAAAGTGCAAGCAAGGGCCATTGTTAACAAGTGAAATGGCCAAAAGTCTACGTAGGTGCGTCGAACACACAGATTCTCACTGGCTTCCTCACTTCCATCCCTTGGGAAATGGGAAAAGTGAAACTAGGGAAGCCCTTTCTCTGGGATCTGGGCTAACAACTCCAGACGTAGAGGGCAGGGTTGAGATGCTAACATGAAAACAAGGGCACTCACAGAAGGCCACCTGCATTCTGAACAGTGAGATTCCCCTGGGTCCCCTTCCCCTGCAGGACCCAGAATGCCACTAGCCAGGCTTTATCACTCCAGGCAAGGGGGAGAGTCTTCCACTTGATAAGGTGAACTTCCCAAGGAAAAAAGGCCCTCAGAAATTGACATGAAGAGGCCACCTGCCAAAAAAGTTCATTTGCTACCTGATTCACCATCTGTAATGAAGCCCGTTTAATGACAAGCTTAGATAACACAAAATTTCCAGTTTTTTTTTAAGAATCTCTTGAAGATACTCAGGCATTTGAATAAGTATATACCATAAAAGAGGAAAAAATGTATATGTGCATTTATTTAAGGTGAGGGAGACTGAAGAAGCAGAGACAATGTAAGATATAATGAAAACTTTTTAAAATTATATAGTTAATATTATCAGAGATATGAGAAAAATATTCCAGCCATTTAGCAATTATAAGATGCTATTTTTTAAAAGACAGAACGCTTTTAAAAAGAAACTTTTGGGCATTTTTTTTAAAACAGCAGAAATAAAAAGGGTAGAAGATAAAGTCAATGAAATCTCCCCCAGATAAAAACAAGAAGAAAGAGGATATTGAAGAAAAATAGGAGAGAAAATATGGCAGTTGAACAATTCAGTCTAAGAGATTCAAATTCAAATTATTAGAAGCTTCAGAGAAAATGAAAAAAAAATGGGTGGAAGGATATTACCAAAGTAATAGTAGAAAAAAAAAATCCAGGCCGTGTATTCCCAAAGGAAAGGGACCATTGTATTCTGCGTAATTAAACAAAAAGACTCTCAAATCATTGGAAGGCACAGCACATCACCATGGAAACTTAAGCACACCAAGGATAAAGAGAAGGAGACTCAACGTTACCAGGTAGAAAAATAGGGTAACATTCAAGGGACTGGGGTTCACAATGGTATTGAACTCTCCAATAGCAACATTAGAAACTAGAAGACAATAGAACAATTGCTTCAAACTGATGAGGGAAAATGGTTTTATATTAAGCCAAATTATCAGTCATGTATGTGAAAACTACTAGATGATGTGTTTCATCAAAATAAGGAGTAAACCAAGATACCAAGAACATTCAAGATGAAAACCCATAATAAGTGACCATAAATTTATGGTTTGGATCTGGGATGTCCCCCAAATCTCATGTTTTGAAGACATGATCCCCAATGCAACAAGGTTCAGAAGTGGGCCTTTTAGGCAATGATTAAGGTTCTGATCTCATCAGTGAATTAATCCAGCAAATAGATTAATTCATTGATAGCCGAATAGACTACTGGATGGTATTTGTTGACTGGTCAATGTGGCTGGAAAAAGTAGGTCACTCTGGGAGTGGCCTTGGGGACTATATCTGTTCCCAACTCCTTGCGCTTGAGCTCTCTCTCCTACCCCCCCCCCCCTCTTTTTTTCTCTCTCTCTCTCTCCTGCCTGGCTGCCATGTGCTGAGCAACTTTCATTTTCACCACAATTTCCACCAAGACCTTCTGCCTCCCTTTGGGCCAAAAGCAAGAGTCAGCTAACCATGGACTGGACCTCTGAAACTTTGAGCAAAATAAACTTTTCTCCACTAAGTTGTTTTTGTCAGGTATTTTGGTCACAGCAACAAAAAGCTGGCTAACACAGTAACCAAGCAGGAATCTAGCATGGGAGAAATATGAAGGAAATTCCTAGGAAGACTGAAGTCCCAGGAGAATACAGTGTAATGGGCCAGAGTAGGCTAGGATGACCGAGGTTCCCTGGGCAAATGCTTTAAAGAAAAAAAAAAAAAAAGGGTAGAGTTTCTCTTAATATTGCTAAGAAAAATTCAAGAAGATCTTTATAAATTGAAAAATATAAGAAGATAGGAAGAACATAAATACCCTGTTATTCAAATAGAAGACTTTATACCACCAAGGTATCAATTCTCTGATAATTTGAATAAAAATATAAATTCTAGAATTAAACTCACCCATATAAGATCACTTGACTTTCCCTTGTGTAAATTAATGGAGGTATTTTCAGTAACTAGCACTGAAGTAACTATATAATCATCTGGGGGAAAAAATGAATTTGGACCCCTTTCTGACACCATATGTCAAAATTTATTCTAAATAAGTGATAGGCCTAAATGTGAAAGCTAAAATTATAAATATTTTAGAAGAAACACATGAGAATAACTTTGCAACCTTGAGATAGGCAGAGACTTCTTGGAAGCACACAAAAGTCACAAGCTATTAAAAGAATTTAAAATTGGCAAATAGGATTTCATCAAAATTTAAAACTTTTATTTGACTAAATGACTAAAAGTGAAAAGGCAGACCATAGACTGGAATAAAGTATTCTCATCACATACATCTGATAAAGACCTCATAGCCAGATATGTTTTAAATTTCTAGACAAAAAATAATCAATTTAAAAAGGACTTAAACAGGTACTTTGTAAAAGAAGATCTATGGAGAACCAATAAGCATATGAGAAAAAGATGTTCAATATCAATATCATCAGAGACGTACAAATTTGTAGTATGGTACTACAAGTACCAACTCATGAGAATGGCTAAAATTAAAAAGACTGTTCATGCTGACTAACGGCAAGAATGTGAAGCAACTGGAGTTCTCATTAATTGGTGGTGGGAGTATAAAATTATCCAACCACTTCAGAAAACTGTTTGTCATTTCTTTTAAATATAATCTTAGCCTCTACAACAGAGATTCCACTTGTAGGTGTAAACCCAAGATAAATAGGGTATATACTTAAAACATTTGTACAAGAATATTCATAGCAGTTTAATTAGTAATAGTCCCAAAACTGGTAGCAGTACAAATGCTCATTATCGAAGAATGAATTGTTTTTTAAATGTAGTATATTCATTTAGTGTGATTAATAAAATGGAATTAATACCTCCATAATATAAGTGAATCTCAAAAAAACATTATATTGAGAGAAAGAAGCCAGACACCAAAAAAGCACATACCATACAGTTCCATTCATATGAAGTTTTGAAAACTGACAAAAGTAATTTATGGTAGTAGAAGACATAGTAGAAGTTTTTTGGTTAGATATTGATTGGAAGGTGTATGAGAACTTTCTGGGGTAGTAAAAATATTGTATATGTTGATCTGAGTGATGATCGCTGTGGATATATACATGTAAAAAGTCAAGAAGCTAAAATATACACTCTGTGAATTTTACTCTCTAGCTAGAAATTAACCTTTAATAAAGTACTGTTTGCAAAATAGTAGCACAGACATTTTATAAAAAGCTGGAAGCAAGTACCAGAAGAAACTGCCAAAAGAGCTCAAAGTGGTTGCTGCTGTTTTTTTTATAACAAACCTTTTAGTACTATTTAATTTTTAATGTATTTGATAATAAAAATAAATTAGTTTAAAAAATTACCCTCCATTGTAGGAAATGCCATTGTTTGAACATAGTTAAGTGTTCAGTAATGATTATGGCAGGAAGGAAAGAGGGAGGGAGGAGAGAACCTGTTCCAGTGATTGGTATTTAGGTAGAGAACTATTAATAAAAGATTTATATTTTGAAGATTCCACATCACTAAATAGTTCATGAAGTTTTGCCTTCTTCTCCACCAACCTTATGTTGGTTTTTATCTCCAAAGCACTATATTGCTAAATGTCATGAACATGCAAAATCTAGGTTAATACCCAACAGGCCATGTGACCTCTGGTAAGTCCCTTTACCTCTGTGGCCTTTGATTGCTTCATCTGAAAAAGAACCCAGAGACTAGGTATCACATTTGTCCACTGGATCTACATTGCCAGGATTCTAGCCCTTTGGTTCCAAGCCCTGGTATACCTTATACTTTAAAATTTTAACCTGCTTTCCCTGTGAAACTTACCAGCTAAAGAGGTTTCACATAAAACATTCTCCAGGGAGCTGTGTCTACCCTGGCCAGCTTCCTTGAGTTTATCTGGGTGGTCTTTTGTGACATATTCTTCGCCCCATTCTTTGCCATCCTTTGGCTGCCTCCATACACCAGATGAGAGGTGGCCTTTAGGCTGGATATCAGCTGAGAGACAAGACTTGAGGTTTTCATCTGCTTCTGGAGTTGTTGGGTTCACTCCTGAAAAATAACACCTGCTGTCAAGATCTTTCTTTAAAAAAAAAAAAAAAGTATCTGGAGCCTATCATGCTAAGTGAAATAAGCCAATTCCCCAAAACCAAAGATCAAAGGTTTTCTCTGATATGTGGAAGCTAACCCACAATAAAGGGGAAAGGAGAATAGAAGCTCAGAGGATTAGACAAAGGGGAATGAAGGGAAGGAAAAGGAGATAGGAAAAGGAAAGACAGAAAAATGAATCTGACATAACTTTCCATGCTTGTATATTTATATTTAAATGAACTCTACTGTCATGTATAACTAAAAACAACCAATAAAATGTCCTAACAAAAGAAATGAAAAAAAAAATAGTGTTCATAATATGCATACAACTATCCTTCAAGGATTAAATATGTCAATTAAGGATCAAAAGTTTCACCAACTGCAAGGTGTTACCTCTCTCTGCTTCTAGACAAATCCTCTACTATTTTTACTTAGGCTCTAATAAATAGAGTTTTTAAAATAAAAGTATGGGGCTAGGAGTATTGCTCAGTGGTAGAATATGCAAAGTTCCAGGTTCAATCTCCAGCACCACACACATAATAATAATAATAATAGAGAAATAAATAAACAAACTTGTAGCTAATTTAGAGTAGCATGTACTGACTCCTCATGTTAGCCTCCTCTCAGGTGAGCATACCAGGTGTCAGCAACATTGTAGGGAAGAAAGAACAGAATGAGGAGGAAGAAGGATGCCAAAGACAACGTCTTCTTTTGCTATCCCCTTCACCCTGATGATGTACATTGGAAAAAGGAAGGGAAAGGGAAGATGCAATAATATATGAAATTCTGGTAAATTGTCAATTCAGTAAATAACCTGAATTAAACCATACGTCTGTGGTCCATGGGAAACTTACATCATGAAACACTCACCTGTGAGATTTCAGCAGATGTTAATTCATTAGTAATTGAAAGGAGCCAGGAAAAAAAAATGAAGATTATTCCCCAGGCCTTCACCATCCCTGGGATTAAACAAGTCACTGACCCACTCTAGCACACATCCTAGGATCTTAGTAACAGCAATGCTGAGCTCTTTCATCCCTGTTTTGGGACTGAGGGAGTAGAGGCAGGAAAGATGTAAGAGGGAAAAAGTGGAATGGATGGAAGAAAAAAAGAACCAACAGAAGAGCCACTTACCAGGACCCATCATTCCCTTCACATTACTCTCTCCTACATGAACAGATCTGGACTCTTGGGCTGCAGAGAAAGGAAAGTTCTTATTCAGCATTGATTCCGCCAATGCACTAAGAACCTTCTATGAACCAGGCACTGAAAGACTCATGGATTTTATACTTTGTTGGGAAAGACAAAAAGCAGCCAAAAGGAAGAAAAGTATAGTATGGTGTGGCAAGTGCTATTTCTCAGCTGCAAAATATATGTTACAATGGTACTTACCTCAAATGATTGCCATAAGAATTAAGTAGGTTAATGTATGTAAACTACTTAAAGTAGTACCTGGAATACTGTAAGAGCAAAATTATTGTTTAACCATGATGATAATAAAAATGAGAGGTGAACGATACTGTTAAAATGTAAGTCAGACTCCTCTGCATAGCCTTTCAATGGCTTCCCATTTCAGTGTAAGAAGACCAAGTCCTCATAATCATCATACAGCCCTAGAATATTTGCTCTCTGTTGCTTGTTTGATTTCTTTTCTCTGTCTCTCCTTCCTTTCTCCCTCCCTCCCTCCCTCCCTCCTTTCTCCCTCCCTCCCTCCTTTCTCCCTTCCTCCCTCCTTCCCTTTCTTTCTTTCTTTCTTTCTCTCTCTCTCACTCTCTCTCTTTCTTTCTTTCTTCTTATCATATTTCCCATTCTCTCCCTCATCCACTCTGCTTTAGCCTCAATACTCTTCTTGCTATTCTTTGGGCATGTCAGTTCTGTTCCCACCAAGACCTTGGCACTAGCTGTGCCCTTTCTTCCCCTCCAGATTCATAGGTTAATTTTCTTCCTTCCTTCAGATCTTTACCAAGCACCCTATCTAAAATTGCAATCCTACTCTACTTATTTTCTCCTTAACTTACCATCATTTAATACAAAAAATATTTTACTTAGTATTGCTATTATTATTATTATTTGGTACTGAGAATTTAACACATGGGCACTCTACCACTGAGCTGCATTCCCAGCCTTTTAAATTTTTTATTTTGAGATAGGGTCTTGCAAAAAGCAAACAACAAAAAAATAAGTTATCTTTCAATTGTCCTGAACAAGAATAGGTAGAAGGTGAGGATATGAGGAGACTAATTATATATATATATATATATATATATATATATATATACACACACACATACACACATACATGTGTATATTTGTATATGTACATATTTTTTTTTCTTGAAGCCTTCTTGGGCAGGAGAGGGAAAGAAAGAAAAGGTATAATTAGTCCTGTAAAATGACATTTTCAGACTATCAGTTATGTATAAATATAAGGTATATGAATGAAGCTTTCACATCAGAGGACCCATATAAAAAGAGGCTGCCTTTTCAAACAGAGGGCTAGTCATTGTGGTAAGCAACCTTTAAGATGGCTCCCAATTATCTTCATCCCTGTGCATTCATGTCCTTATGTAATCCTTTAAGTAGAAGCTGAATTTAGTAATTTGCTTCTAAAAAATAGAATATGGCAAAAAGGATGGAATCCTACCTCCAAGATTAGGTTATAAAATGACTGGCATTTGTCCTGAGCATTCTCTCAGATCATTTGCCATGGGGGAAGCTGGTTGCCTTATTGTAAGGCAGCAACTTGGAGAGGCCAATATCATAGAACCAGAGCCTGCCAACAACCATGTGAATAAGTTTGGAAAGAGATGCTTCCTGAGTAGAGAAATCACATGAGGTTATAGCTATGGCCAACACCTTGATTGTAGCCTTGTGACAGACCTGGAGCCAGTGGCACCCAATTAAACTGCACCAACTCCTGACTCCGTGAATTTTAGGACAATAGTTAACAGTCATATCATTTTATCGTTAGGAATGGGTAAACCAACACATTGAGAAAGTTTGGTTCTTTAACCCTAAGTTTTAACATAAGCCACCACCAATTGTATCCAGTATATTTTGTTATAGCACATTAGCCCCAAATTTCTGCAGTAACTTAGTAGAATAAACTATGACCATATCTACCTAGCAGGGAAGGAAGGAGTTGCCATTAAACAGTTAATTTAAATCTGTGTCAACTCTGAAATCATTTATATCAGCTGTTTTCAATGGATTAAACAAGCCCTGTGATTATTCCTTTCGCTGGGGGCTGGTACATATTCTCTAAAGATGTGTTTTGCAAATAAAACCTTTAATATTTTATCTTGTGAACATGTTCAGCTGCCCCAGACCTGGCATTGATCTGACTTCTACTTTCTAAGACAATCCTAAACTGTTTCTCAATAAGGATCATCCCTTCATGTCTTGCAGTCCACGTCATGGAACAAAGAAAACAGAACCGCTTGTGGACCCACTCCCAGATGGATCAAGTGAGTTTTCCCAGGCTGTACCTATCAGCCTCTAAAGTAAACACTCACCTGAGTAAGAAAAATAAAAGTAATGAAGTAAATATTTTCTTAGAAGTACATCAGGTAAAAAGCACTTGATTCATATTTTTAGATTCAGTTATTCAAACCACACATATTGTCTATGAATACATAAACCAAACTGTTCCATAAGCTGTAGGGATAGAAAACCACCAAATCCTACCTTTGAGGAACTTATACTTTTTAGGACTTTCTACATGAGACCAAAAAAAAGGGGAGGGGTCATCAAATCAATGTTAATTTCTGCATTCATTTTTCTGTATAGATGTTTTGCTAGATTTTGTCAAGGATACAAAAATGTAGCAAATGTTTTTTTGTTTTATGTATTTTTTTTCCTGAATTGAACACAGGTCAGTAACCACATCCCTTGGAAAGCTGGTATTGCCAGTGTACCATTTTGTAACATCTGTTCTCACATCCCTAAGAGCAGATATGTAGTTGGTGACCATTTCAGTCTACAGATAGCACTAGCTCTCATTTTCCAGACAAAGATGGATACGGAGTTACACCACCAACAAAATGATTTTTTAGAGTGAATTTTTTAAAAGCATTTCTCTCATATGGTTGGTACAATATTGATTGTGCAATAAATCATTTTTAATCCAATTGGAATTTAGAAGAATCCAGGTTAGTATTTTCTCAAAAAATAAGATCTTTAAAGTTGGGCAGACTCTCAGGATCTCTTTGGTTCTCTAGACTCTTCTAAATTCCAGAAAAGAAGAAAAATTCTGAGCAATGCATGATTTTCCTTTAATAAAGAAGGAGAACTTGTGAGCCCACTTTTGCTATTATTTAAGACCTAGAAATAAGGGGGGAAATACTTGTTTAGTTCACCGTGGTGGTCTGCAAACTATACCTTTCTCATAGGCCTGAGATGGCAAAATATTTGTGAATTCTTCACTTGGCAGAACAGGTTCAGGGATGTTAATGGAGCGGAAAGGGCTTCCTTGGGCTTGTTGAGCAGGCCCAGCCTGTGTGCCATGTTCTTCTTTTTGAGTTTTTCTAGGAAAGGAAAACAACCCCAAGGTCACTTTGGTTCTTAATACTTGATAGATTAGGAGGAAATCCAATTCAGAACAGCTTAAGAAAATGTCCAAATTATTAAGTTGAATTGTATAAATTGCTATTTTTTTAAATTAAAAAGTCCAATACTAGCAATTTGTACAGTTCACCTTAATTCATCACCTAAAACCAAGCAAGACTTCAGATATCTACAAATTACTTCTAAATGTAATTCTTTCATTCTTATTTTTCTGTTACTGGTTCCCTGTCACCAGGATCTATAAAGTTAGCAGTAGTGACTATTTGCTTGGGATGATTCACGTTTGCTTAACCAAGCAATTCAAAGGTACCTGAAAGCTGTAGATCTTCAACTGAACACCATAATCTATTCTACCTGGTCACACAAATATTATCCCCATATTTCTGTCTTAAATTCAATAACATCAAAAACTTAACAATGAAGATTATGTATGCATAATGGTGAAACTTTACTTGACTCAATTTAGTTGAGACAGTGTTGAATGTCAATTTACTTTCAATCATATGAGTCAAATAATAGCAGCATTAGAGAAACTTTAGAAAATTAATTTAAAAAGAAAAAAGAAAATCACTGGTGGCCCCACAGTCTTAGCACAACAATTATTATTTTAAAAAAATATCTTTCTGATTATTTCACATATTTTTACAGTTGTAATCAACATATACATGCCATTTCATATCATATTATATTAAATGAATTTTTATATTTAATAGTTATCATTCATTTTTATATTAACCAACTTTTCTGGCTATATACCTGCCATCATATGCAGACTGGCAGAGCTCAGTGGCCAGCTAGCTATATTATTAATAGAGGGCAAGGTACTCTCAGTGCCTTTCTATAAGATCTTGCTATGAGTTTGCCTTTAGTAAATATTTTTTTAATATCTTTATTTTATTTTTATGTGGTGCTGAGGATTGAACCCAGTGCCTCATGCATGGTAGGTGAGTGTTCTACCTCTAAGCCACAACCCCAGCTCCTGGTAAATATTTTTAAAGAGGAATTTAATTTCCTTTATTTACAAATATTTATTATAGTAATATTCTTTGTATAGTAAATTTCTTAAAAATTTTATAATCTTTAAATAAATTAAAGAAACCTTCAGAAATTTGGAAATTGTTTTCCAAAAATGATTGTACTACTTCCTACCAACAGTGTGTGAGCTCCAGTTGTTCAACATGCTCACCAGCATATTATATGATCACTTTAAGAAACTGATTATTGTTTTAATAGGCATTTTCTTTCTTAAAGTTCTTTTTAGTAAATAGCTTAAAAATACTCACTTGGCTTTAACTTTTCGAGATTCTCTTCTCTTCTCCTGTTGAAGCTGTTCAATTTTCTGTTGCATTTCTTCTTGTTTGGAAGTGATAGCCTGGATCATTGACATGGCATTGCTCAGCTCTTCCTAAAAAATAAGCATTGCTATATTTCAAACTGGTACGTAGGGTAAAAGCATAGAACATAATATGCAGCACTCCATAAGTTTTTAGTACATACTTATTGAATGAATGAATGAATCTATTGTGGCCCCTGATTTTGACACAGAGCTCCAAAAAGAAAAACAGGAAATATATATTTTTTTCATGATAACTAGTGAGTGGCTCAGAAAGAAAATCTTTTTTGTTTGTTTGTTTTGGTTTGGATTTTTTTTTTTTTTTTTTTGGTACCAAGGATTGAACCCATATGTGCTTAACAATTGAGCCACATTCCCAAGCCTTTTTATTTTGAGACAGGGTCTTGTCAAGTAGCTTAGGGCCTCATTGAGTTGCTGAGGCTGGCTTTGAATTCACAATCCTCCTGCCTCAGTCTCCTCGGTTGATGGGATCACAGATGTGTGCCACCATGCACCAGGAGGAAAATTCTTATATCTGGCTGCTATGGGAAAAGCCCCAACATACTCTTTTCAGCAGGAAAACAAAAGATGCACCTACCTTGAAATAGTTTAATGAATTCTTCATCTCAGTAACTTTTTCTTCCATGGAACACCTACAGCTCTTAACCTTTTCTTCCAAAGCATATTCTCCATGTTGGATTCTTGACAGTTCCTGCATTGCTTCTGTGAATCCAGTTTTCAGTTCAGAGGCTAATGCCTGCAACTAAATAATGCATGAAAAATGAACTCAATTTGCTGTAAATTATTATAAATGGCACCACTGGATCCTTGACTTCTTCCTCTATTTTCTTCTTCTTCTTCTTCTTCTTCTTCTTCTTCTTCTTCTTTTTTTTTTTCTTTTCTCAAGAAACCAGGCTCTTGGGCTAGGAATATAGCTCAGTTGGTAGTGTGCTTACCTGGCATGTAACAAGGCCCTTGGTTCAAACCCAAGCACCACAAAAAAATAATAATAATAATAAGGAAAAAGAGAGAGAAAAAAACCAGGCTCTTGACAATCTACAGACTTCATTTACTAAATTTGGACAACTTAAGGGAAACTTGGCCCCTTTTGTCTTCTTTATACAGAATATGTTGAAGCTTGGCAATAAAACAATCAATTAAGTTTATGCATGCCCCTGCAAACTACTTTCATTTCACAGCTTTTGATTAAAATGCAGTCTACTTAAAAAGCCATGTAAGTATGTGAAAAAGACAATCTTAATACAGCTACTCTGAATTCTGTGAAAGAACAGATAGGTCACATTCCTCTTGGTTATTAAGAGAGGATAAAGAAATTCAGGGTTTTTTTTTTCCTTAAAAAGTTAAAGAATAAGAACAATAATATCTAGAAATAATGATAATTTCTTTGAAAGAGAAAAAGAAATGTCTTTCTTTCTTTCTTTCTTTCTTTCTTTCTTTCTTTCTTTCTCTTTCTTTCTTTCTATTCTTGGGCATTTTCCATGACAACAGCTTTAATCCATAAGGAAGGCATAGAAGTATCTGTAATGGCAGAAGTGTGGCATGTTGATGGTGATGTGAATCATCTTCAGCAGTCCAGTCTGTCAAAGGACTGCCCACATTGGACTTCTATTGTCATGTTCCCCACTGTGGTGAGGTAATAATTTCAGAATTAGGTTGGGTACAATCCTAGCTCTCTCCTAGAGAGCTCTTTTGCAGCAGTTTCCTTGTCTTTAAGATAATTATAATAATGTTTATTTCACAGGGATGTTTTGAAAACTAAATGAGTAAATATGGGTAAGGCACCTACTATGTCATATGCTTAGTACACAGGTATTTTTAAAAATTAATTATTTCCTCTTTATGTGACAAATCAAAAAGTTAAATACAAACAGAAAAGTGGAGAAAATGGAGCACTTCTAAAGGTCCAGTTTTATTTTCTGAACAATAAAAAATGAATTTTCAACAAACAATAAATTAAGATAATATAGGATAGCCAGACAATGACATTACTTTCTTGACACATATGACCTTATACCCAGCTAAGTAGAGAAATTCTTAACTTCCCATCTTTCTTCAAGACATAATGGTCTCGAAGGTTTTTTCTATAATATAAAATATTCACCAAGAAAGTGTCTTTATATGTGTACTTCTATACATTTTCAGAATCAAGTCATCCAAATGGTTTCAATTTGAATCCACACATTCTACTATAAAATGAATCAGTATCCTACCCTGTGTTTTAAAAACCAGGATTTGTTGTTGTTGTTGTTTAAGTGTGTTTCACAAATGGTTTCTTTCTAGGACTGGAAATAGGGAAAAATAAGAGGAAAATAAATCATTTTTAGGAAAAAAAATCAGAACTTATTAAGTGTTTGGGGCTCAAAGACTTAGAAACAACATGAGCAATCTGAGTTTGATTCCAAAAATTTTTAATTAAAACTAATCTTTATGATTGATCTTAGCATGTGTACTAAACCATTATGATGGATTAAATCACCAGATCAATTACTTTCTGATCTGCTAATTTTTATCATATAAACTCATCTTCTGTGTGTAAAATAAAATTGATTGCTATATAAACGTCAGAGCAAAAAGTATGTAAGTTTTAAAACTGAAAGAAGGAAAGCTTAGGTTTCCTACTTGAATCAAACAAAAGGGAACCACTATCCCAACAGAAATAGGTTTCATTATCACTGCTCCTAAAAGTGGATATGTGGAGTTTTTCTAGAAGCCAAAAGGCAACAGCAGAGTCTTAGGGAAAAAGATTTTTCTCATTTGTAGAAACTCAGCTCTAAAGTAATTTAAAACCATTGGAAGGTTCCTAACAACCAGGGAATGCTAAAACTGTTCTGAGTGTCAGTCTACTTCCTCCCTTTATTTCTTCCAGAAAAGTAACACTACTACTTTATAATCAGCTTCACAACCAGTGACAAGCCAGGAAGGGGATGCCATTATGGGCATAATCACACACCTGAGACAACACAGGGCTCTTACTATCTTTAGCTGGGACAGATTGGTTGTTCATACCAACCTGACCATTCACAGCCTTGGGAATAAAAAGGAACCAGAAGATGAGTGTCTTAACATCTTTTCTCTGCTCTCTCTTCAACATTCTCATCTGACAGCCCACTGCCCACCCCAAGGATTAGAAACAGGTGTCTACCTTGTTCTCCAGCGAGTTGAACACGTTCCTCATCCCGTTGATTTTTTCATGAAGCTGCTCTAGAGAGGTTATGATCCCTCCATTCTGCCGCTGGGGGCGGGCTCCCACTGGAGGTAGGTTCAGGGAAGACTTGAACTTCAAAGCCTAGGGTTCCACAGAGGGCAGCTTAGGCTCAAAGAAATGGGGGAGAGGAGTCGGAATTCCTCCTATTTCCTGCTGTTAATTTCTGCTTCTCAATTTTCTTTCCCTTCTTGGCTTCTGAACTCTTCTGAAGATGATTTTTAATCAGTGTCTTCCAATTTGGTTTCCACCAAAGATCTGTCAGGCCTCAAACTAAATTTCTCATGAATTCCAGCTTGTTTTGTTTTTACATAAACTTCCCATTCCTTTCTGCCACATGACCAAGGTCAGGAGGCTACCAAGAGGTAAATTCAAGAGACTGTGCCTATGCCTTGGGAACTCTGCAAAGTCATAATGTCGAGGTTTAGGAAAACTCCACAAGGCATGTCAAATTCCTACCACACTGGACTTCACGAGGGCAAAAGGTCAAGTGTTTTGGAGTAGCACATAATGGCAAGGATGCTGGGGTGGTTGCTTTGGTTTCCCCCTGAACCAGAGTCACTGCAGAAGAAACTTGTTCTCTCTGCCAGCTTCCATCTTCCAATTTTATTTAGGCCTCTTTATTGATCCCCCAGAAATGCAATGATTTAAAGCACTAAGTGGATAGTTAAGTAATTTGAACATCAACAGCTATTTCCTAATCTACGGCTCTATTCTCCTGCAGAAATCATCCTTTCAAGACGATGTTGATGCTGAGGCGAAGGCTGCTGTGTTAGAAAGTTGTCTTATTCATCCCTGGATATACTACAGGCCTAGAAGAGTTTAACTTCTCTGGGGTTAGAACATTCCTCAATGGCAAAAAAAAAAAAAACCCTGAGGCTCAGCCAAGACTTACAAATCCTAGAAAAAATTCAATGGCAGTTTGGATGATGAAACTTATTACTGTAGGACTGGTTCCCATAATTTTTCAGTTAGAGGTCCTTTTGGCACCTAAGTTATTTTCTTCAATTATTTTAATTATAGAGAAAAAGAAGAAAAATAAGAATCACCCTAAATCTCATCATTTCAATTTATTCATTTTTTTTCCCATTTCATTATATGTATAGAAATACAGACATTTATATGGTTGAGATCACACTAGAGATATCTTCCCCTCTTTTTCTTGCCCTTTGATTCTTATAATCCCTCTCCCATAGCCTTCAAAATGTTTTCTATATGTCTAGTTTTTAATGGCTACATACTTTTTTATCATATAAAATATGCCAGAGTTTACCTATTCATTTACTCTTGGTGAAAATTTGTTATTTTTTAAGATTATAAATAATGCTGTCATATCCTGCTTTTTATTTAAAGCCTTGCATATATTTTGTTTATATTGCCAATAGGATAAATTCTGAAATATGAAATTACTATGAGTCAAAGATATTAGGTAAGATCTGACCCAAAGGGAAAAATCTACTACATTATAGGGAGGCAAATATTCAATTAATTAATAGTTCTATAAAATATATTTGGCCAGTGGGTTTGAAAATTTATAATATTATGGTTGCATATTATTGGAAGCATTCTGTATGGGACATAAAGTCCTAAATTTGTGGATTTAGGAAACTGTGCCTTGTATAATAAGATATATGAAGTATAAACAATAGAATTGGAGGAAGCCACAATGTTTACATTCCTAAAACTACAAGTGAGCCAAAAAAAAAAAAAAAAAAACACCCTGGGAGTACCAGTCATTGGTGTGAGGGTTGGCTGGAATTAAGTTTTGCAGTTACCACACCAACCCCCTTTTTGTTTTAATGGACTATAATTTGAAAAAATCCATATGCAAAATGAAGTCATCAAGGATGAAACACCATCACCTGACTCTGGAAAAGAGATCTCATTCAATGACTTTGAAAGGTATATGTACCAGGAATTCAGGATGAGAGAAAAAAATACACTTGGAATGGAATAAAGGAGAATATCCTGAGCCTAAAAACCCAATGGGTAATTGTATATTCACACTGATTGATGTTCTGGAGGTAATTCTACCTGGAATGCACTGGGAGATAGTAGTACTCATTCTCCTTTTGACTTCTGGGACCTGATGTGGATTACTGTATCTCACTGTCACCAAGGAGGTCAAATCTATCCAATAGTTATAGGACAGGGAGCCGGTGATGGATCGAACACTTGAACACATTTCCTGCATTTTAACTAATAATTTTTCTTAAAGTTTCTACCAATTTATACACGAGAACTAAATATTATTTTATTATTTGCTAAAGTAGATAATAAAAAATAATGCTTCTTATTTTAATCATTACTTTTTTGAGCGTCAACTTTTTCTTGTTTATTAACTAAGTTATCTATAACTTTACTTTGGAAAATTATTTGTTTTCTTCGCCCATTTTCTATTTGGGTCTTGGAATAATCCATTTTCATGAGCTATTTCTATATCATTAAGCTTTTGCAATAGTTGTTGAAAGCATTTAGTTATTTGTTTTTTAATTTGTTTAAGATGTTTTTATGTTGACAAAGTTGTAAATTAAGATGTGAATAAACTCTCAAACCCTTTTCTTTGTGATTTCTGTCAACTTTTTTTTTAACATAAAAAGACACTTTACATACAGAAACAAAATACTTATTTTAAAACTTTTGATTTGGTTTTTATACTTAACTTTTTTGACAAACCTTTTGGAGATTGTTTTGATTAGAGTATGAAGTGAGGATCTCTTCTTTTTTTCCCCAAAGAATCAGTTTTCCCAACACTGACACCAGACAATGACTACATCAGACCTTTTGTCTCAAAGCAATATACACATCTTGCATATATTCATTAATTAATTCATTCAACTAATATTTATCAAATATGCATTATATCCCAAGCACTGTGCTTTATGCTGAGAATACAACAAAGAGCAAAATGGACTAAATCCCTGCCCTTAGAGCTTACATTCTAGATGAGGAGAGACAATTTAAAAAAAAAAAGTTACTACATCCAATAATGTCAAGAAGGGAAGAGATCTATCAAGAAAATAAAATATGGAGATACAGAATTGCTGAAATTTCACATTTTGTTTCAGATAGTTTCCCTTGTAATAAGTATTCTCTTATAGATAACTCCTTCCCACATCCCTCTTTCCTCTTCTTCTTTACTTCTTCTTTTTGGTTAAAAGTTGCTTGTAGTAAACAGACTTAGGAAAAGTTCTTTTAAAACAAGGATGGGATTATAATAGTGTCACAGGGGTCACCTAGATCAACTTCACTTTTACTGCTTTGTATATTCCACTGTGAACAGATGTATTTGGGTTTGTGATATGATAAGCTAATGAGGCCACCCCCATTGCAGCTATATTTAGCCAACATCCAGGGAATGACCTACATAAAATCTATAATAGACTTTAAATCATACTTGAGTTTAAAGAGGTCCTCACACTGATTCAAATGCCATACACAGGTCAGATGAGAACAGATGAGAAGTGGGCAAGGAAAGCATTTAGAGAGAGGCCTTGGATCAGTGAGGCACCAAATCAACACCAAGTGAAGACCAACTCTGCTTCTTGACCTTCGTTTGAGCTGGTCTCGCTGCCTACTTAGCCTTCTCATATCCACTTGTCGAATGACCAACTTGTCCTTAAATGCCTACCTCAAATCATTTAGTCTACACTAATTCATCTCTCCCTGTAGATTTAATCAGTGCCTCCACTGTAATCTTTTCAAAAACTTTCCTTGCAAGAACTATCTAGCATATGTGTTTTCTAGGTTGTAGACACTTAAAAATCAATGAGAATGTTTGTTTTATCTGTTTAACCTCCCGTTAGACTACATAGTAGACTTTGCACATAGTAACTACTCAGTAAATATAAATTAAATTAAAGGCTGCTTTCTCTACAATTTCCCAGGACTGATTTAAGTCTAGAAACAATATGTTTAAAAATATTTTCATAATCCTGTTCTGTTTTGCCCTCAGTGGTCCCATACCATTTGAACTCTTGCATGATATTTCTGGGCACTAGTTGCTATTTTCACTCTTGCTATCACTTAAACTCAACCAATTTAAAAATATTTCTCCTAAACTATCTGTTCCTCTGGACTCCAATTCTTCATCTTGACAACTCCTTTTCCTGGTTACCAGGGCTTAAAACCAGCTTAAAAAGGACTTTTCTCTCAACCTCTGCTAAGATCTGTCAATACCTCCGTCTTTCTCATGTATTCCAGAAAATACTGTCTTAAGCCTAGAGAGGAACATGGATTTCCCTAGCCTTATATATTCCAAGTTATGTCAGAATAAATTTCCATGATTTTTAAAGATAGAAATTTTCTTCAATTTTACAGTTTGAAAGATAGAAGCCAAATAAATTCCGTTGACAGAGCCAAAGCACCTGATGTCACTCTTGCTGCAAAGATGTTTTGCAGACTTTTTTTTCTAGTTGTTAATGGACTTTATTTTATATACAGTGCTGAGAATCAAACCCAGTGCCTCACACCTACTAGGCAAGCACTCTACCACTGAGTTACAATCCCAGTTCTCTTTTGCAGATTTTTTATCTTCTTTGTAAATCAAATTGTTCCCATTGTTTTAAAAAAAGCTTAAAATTTTTCTATCACCATATTTGAACACTTGCAATGATAGCTCCTTTCAATTCTCAGTTCTTTCTGCTAAAATAGGGAACTATTTAGCAGAAAGGAACTTAGGGAACTTTCTTGTTCCTCCTCTCTGATGAAACTGTTATATTGTATGATGTAAGGGCCAATGTGACTGTAGCATCAGGTGAGAAAAGCAGAGCTGAGATGGGATAGTAGTGCTACATTTTATAAACTGAATAATTTGTCCTACAATAATTGCTTCTCTCAAATGTACAATGTGAGAGGCCCTCTGCCCTGTCAATCTCAATCTTGTGAAGAGAACAAATGTATGTGGAAGCACTTGTGAGTGCCAAAAATCTCTGCATACAACCGACAGTCACCACTGTCACATGTGGGAGCATTTAAAACAATCTATTTGTCTTTACCTGGTAAATCTGTGTGGAAGGACTATTCACCGGCATATGTTCATTCTCTCCTGTAGAAAGAAAGAGCTTTGTTTAATCAAAACAACTTGTTTTGTCCTTATCCTATCTCATAAATATATACAGGGAATAGAGATCCTACAGAATTCTCTGTATATGACTGCATAACATTGATTCGAGAACAAAAAATAAGCTGGATATAACTGGTGTTTTCTGTTTACATCCTAACAAACAAACCAAATCTATTAATAGGACTCTTGTAGAAAAAAACCATATTCTACCACAATGGGGAAGTTTTTGGCCAAACTGAGTATTTAGTGATCTTTAAGTAGAAAAGAAGGAATGCACAAGAAGTGTCTCCCTCATATTCTTGAGTTGACTGAAGTTTACTTGAGGGGATGGTTCTAATGCCAAGAAGGCTGTTCTTCCTGTCCAGGAAGGTACCAGTCCAGTTGTCATTTACTAGTTTCAGGAGAACTATATAAATGTCCCTTGCTTCTCCTACCTCTGATCCTTGCCATACTTCTGAACTCT